TGATAAGCGAAAAAGGGAAGAAAGGGTGCTTTTACTCAATTTCTTGAGAAAGGGAAATCCATTTATTTGCAGAGTACAGGATCTTAGAATATCTGTAGAGGTAGTAACTGAAGTGTGAAAGAATAAACCGAAATCTAGACTATAACCTCAGATACATCCGGGAGTGGTCTTCTTTCCACAAACCCCGCTTTGCTGGTTTCTTCTGTGTCTGCACTGCCCTGCAGCTTCCCCTGGTTCAGTGTCAGAGGAAAAGCCATGCAGGGACGCCAAGGAAGACCACTGCAGTCCTACTGAGAAGCCTGGCCTCAGACCTGACAGAGGGAAATGAGCTCTCTCTCTAAACCTCCAGGCTCCATGTGTGGGAAAAGACTGATCAGACCAATTCTAGCATTATTGAGAGAATACTAAACCACACTGAAATTGGTATCTTTCTTTTATGACAAATCTTAGGGATGAATGTAGGGCTAGAAGGCTCGATGGAATGTCAGTGCGAAACTAGAAGGCGGCAGAGTGTGTCGAAAGGAAATGTAGCCAGTGATCCACCATATAATGTTTTGTGGTCTGTGCGTTCCAAAGAAGGCCACTGATTTGTCCTCTGTATCTTAAAATTCTTCTTCACCAGAGTCTCCCTAATGAACAATTCTTTTGTTCTATGGATACACTGTCTTCTCTGTTCCAGAACTCCTAGGAGAATTCTCACTCACACCAGCGTCTCTACGTGCTCACAAAGAGTTCGGTTTCAGTGTTAACATTAATCTATATTTGAATTTTCTCCATTTAGGGCACGAGAACCTATTTGTCATCCAAATGACTGGCCTATGAAATGATGCCTTCACACCTCTTGGTGCCAGTGATTTGACCTCTCACCTAGACCTTCGAAAGTTGGTCCTGGAGCAGCAGTGTCCCTATGCCCCAGGACGGTTCACTCTGAAGCCCAGGGACTCACCCAGAAGTCATCAGCAGAACCGTGAGTCCCTTACCTCCCTTCAAGATGTGCCCATCTCAGTCCCATCTCCATTACTGACCAAACTTTCAAAGCACAGTGATGTTCTTCAGACAGGAAGAGCGGACAGTATGCACCAAAAACATTACGCCCTAGGGAAACCTGAAAGATCTGATGTCCATTCCTACCTGGTTTCTACAGATCTTTTAATTTCCTAGGCCAATAGTCGTTCTCTTCTCTGAATTCGTGGGGGCTGTTTAAATGTATGATTATGGCAGCATACTTTTTTATGATTTTAATACAAGTTGTTACCAACAAATGTGTAAGATGTGGCAGATTATGCGTTTGTTCAAAGCACTTTGATTTAAGCATAAAACATCTAAATGGCACGAGTTTGTGCCTAAGATGCAAGGAGTCACCTACTATTTTATAGCAGCCCTCTCTAATTAGAATCCATTCTTCCTCTGTTGCAGATGGGCTAGGTCACAATCTCCTGTAGACAGGGCACTTTTGTAAAACCAGGATAATGTTCTTAAGATCAATCTTGTTCAATTGAAAGGACTCTCCCAAGTGTCTTCTAGCACTGTAGTATGTGTTCTGTCTTAATTTCATACACTGACTCTCCTTTGAGTCTATTTTATGGTGGTTGTGTTCACAGTTTTGGTTTAAAATTTGGTTTAAATTTACATAAAAGTCTGTACATGTTCACAAATTATTGCATGAGCAGCATAATCTTCAATACAGTGTTTGAAACACATGTCCAATTCAGGACAAAAAAGATTTGTGCTTCCCATCTGGCTTTTTTCTTCTTTTTTATATATTTGGAAGATTCCCGGTCAGACTTGGTCTGTGATGGAGGCACACCATTTTTTTAGTGTTTGACTTGGGTTTATCTGTGTCTTGTAGCATCAGTGCACTTGGGAAGAGCTCTTGTCAGAATCAGTTTTTGATAAGGTAAAGATGGCTCAATAGAAATAGCAGGTGGAAGAGTCTTGACAGGCTGGCTACTTTTGACAGGTGCTTCAGCTGGATCAGTAGTGCTTATGGGCTTCAAGGACAAAGCTTTTTTCCTGCTTTGGACAGGCTTCAGAGGTACTCACTGGAAGCTCTTCTCTAGTGTACTTTTCTAATTCTTCTCCATCTGGCTTCTTCTTTTTCTTTTTGGTTTCCCAATTGGGAGAGCTCCCTCTCCTTTCTCTTTACCATCATCTGAAACCTTTCAATCACTGGGAATTGGTGAAGCTCTTTCTTCATCTACCCAATTCCCCCACTCTTCTGCTGGTGCACTTCATTCAGAGCTGGAGTCAGCAGAAGACAGCCTGTTTAACCCAGACTGTTCATCATCGCTATAGTTGATTGTGGCTACTGTCCCACTGATCATCCGAAGAAACTGGCTCGGCGGTAGACCCAATGCCAGAAAATAGTGAGTGATCACTCCAGTTCCTTCCCCAGGTTTTCCATTCACATCACCAGTGTCTGTCCAAAGTGATGGTTCCCACCTGTCCTGAGGTGTCTATGAGGATTGTTTTGCAGGCTTTTCATTCGAGCCTCCTCCATTGACAGTAAAATTTCCATTCCATTCTGAAGAAATCGGAAGTGTAGAGCCTCCTTTTCCAGATTACAGTTGCTAACTTGTACGTTTAGATGGGAATCACCTCCATTCTTCTTGGTACCAACAGGAGACGATGCAGCTGGAAGTTGCTTGGTGGTAACTGTGATGGTATTTTCTATCCCAGGGATAGGGGAATCCAATGAACGAGACTCAGCACTTTCTCACGTTTCCGGGTCGTTTCTCACTGTGACTAATGTGGTTTCCCAGGCTCCTCGTCAACTTCCTTCCATCATGGCCTGAGCCGTTTTGCACTGGTTTAGCATCTGACTGATTTCTTCTTATTTTTCTTCCACTTTTCATTTTTCTTGTCTGTCTCTGGTGGCTGCTTTGCTGCCAAACTTCGGGGAGTTGGAACAGTTCCATCCTCAGCCACTTCAAAGGTCTGCCCGTTAGGTTTGGGTTCCGCAGCTTCTTCCGTCTCATCTTCACTTGGGAGATTCTTCAGCGGGGTTGAGACTAGCAGGCAGGTCCACTGCCTCCAGCTTCCGGGGCGGCTCCTCAGCTTCCCTTGGCCCAGCCACAGCCTGCAGGGACACAGTGTCTCCAGAGGCGCCACCTCCAGGCTCCCAAACTCCCACAACATGGCGGCACCTTCTGTTTCTTCTTAATCTCTGGCTTCTGAGGGCGCTGCTGATCTAGCAGAGGACCCATATTCATTTTCTAGCAGCCGCATTGCAACTAACAACTGTCTGCAGCTCCAGCCCAAGGGGACCTGAAACCGTCTCCTGACCTCCTTGGGCATTGCAGGACAACAGTGCAGTTATATCCATGCAGGCAGTACTCTCGTACACGTAAAGTAAAGATAATGAATAAAAAGTTTTAAAAGAATTTTAAAACAAAACCAAATTAGGCAGAGACATAATAAGAAAGTTGATCATTACAGAATTCTGCTCGATTTGAGCTCTAATATGTAAAGCTTTCAAAAAGGGATACGCTCATGGATGCTCTAATCACTGGAAGAGTTGAATTCCATCAGGCCTCTGGATTGAGTCACTGTACAAGTCTGTGGAAAAATATATCAGCTATGGGAAATAATAGACTCCAATTGAGTGATCTTCTGTCTCCACGTTTTTACAAAAGGCACCCTATAAAGTGAAAACTGTCTGATAAATTTAAGTGAGTTAAATGACTGCATGTAATGATCTCCTTTATTCACAGCATCAGAGAGAGGAGTCAACAGAATATACTCTGATAAATTGAATCTTTCGTTCGGAGAGGCTCTCGCGCCCGCAGTGAGCGCCCACACTCACCAGCCCCCATCACAGGCTGTCTCTTTGGAAAGAGGCTTGGGGATATCTGTGAGGATGGCAGTCTGCCTACAGCAATTCTGGTAGGCCTCGTTCTGTTCTTCCTCTGCCATCCTGAGCCCAAATTTGTCTTTGAGTAGTCCTGTGTCCTCAGTCATTCTCAAGTCCACACTGAGGAATACCAACTACTTTTAGTGATGGGAAACTCTGAAAATAATACTTGTAATACAAAAATCGAGTCACTGGAGGGGGGGTTCTAAATTTGATTAAGATGTATTAAACGAAATGCACAAAAACTCAGTAAAAATATTAAATACTGAAAAGTCAAAGTCAGGTTTTCCTGAGTCTGAGGAAACATGAATAATAGGGAAGAGCACAGTTGTTTGTTCCACGTATTTCAGCAAAGACGCACATTCACCTCTCAGATGAGGGCAGAAGTCACTGGCTAGGACCCTCTGAGTCCTCTCTGCCTCACATTCCCTTCCAGCTTTTTCCTTGAGATCCACACTGGTCTCAGGTCTCCTTTCATGAACACTGTTTTTGATACTGCACTTCCTAATGAGGCACCATATCTGTCATACTAGATGTGCATTTCAAGTCCATAAACGTAAAAATATTTCTTTTGGTATACAAAAACCCTATAATTATGACACATTTTGTCAAAAGAATGGCCCAGGTACATGCCTATGTTATTTCAAACCAGGTTACCCAGTACTTGAAACATTTATTGCAACCGAGTATTTGTCTAAGCACTATGCTCAGCATTGGGAATTTCTTCTGCGTTAAGTTAGCCAGTTTATCACATTAGGCATGTCATTGTTACTGTCTTTCACCCTGCACATTTTACAGAAACCTTCCATTCTAGTCATGAATATCATCAGCCCAGTTCCACAAAATAAATAAAGAAAACCTCAGAGAGCTTGTGTGTGGGTACATAAGGCTACATAGTAAATCAGTGCCATGATAGATAGCAATTCCCTGCCTTTCTGACTCTGACAGCGGCTTTCTACCCAGAAAAGGAAAACAAGAACGGATAGAAAGAAATCGAAGGTTGAATGAAAGGAAATATAATCAGAAAAAGTTTCCGCAAGGACACAGATTGAAGCTCCACTTTTTAAGAAACCAGAACATACAGGAAGTAGATATGGGTTTGTGTCACTTAAGGTGGATAAGCCAATGAGAAATGAGACTGCCGCACATGGGAAGGACGTTCATGTGGCTGACAGTAAGGAGAGAGACGACCATTCATTCCCATGTTGTGTGTTTCAGTCACATTTATCAAATCACTACAGAGGAAAATCTAATTGACACATGTTCTCAGGGTTTGAGGATGACAAGTTAGAGTGCCTTGAGGGGCAGGGCTGAGAACATAGATTTAGAAGCAATAAGTACAATTCGATTTCTGCTTCATTCCTCCCAGCTCTAGCACTGCTCCCTTACAAAGCACTGCTCTGGTTCCCAACTAGGGGTCAAATTGTCTGCTTCCCTGTGGCTGTGGAGCAACAGGTGCCTTTGTTTTCTCACTCAGGATATGCTCTCTTTGATCGATGACAAAGGACCAACCACTGAAGGAATATTCAGGAAGACACCCAGTATCAAAGCATGTGGAGCCCTAAAGGAAAGGCTGGATTCAGGAGAAGTGGACCTGAGCCAGGAGCCCATCCTCGTCGTGTCTTCTGTCCTGAAAGTAGAGACGTTTCAAGCATCATCTGTACTTAATAGCTTCTGTAGATACAGGAATATTTTCTTTCATCATGAGTATCCTGAAATAATAACAGTCATGAAAGATTAAATATATGACAAGCTGAAAGATTCCTCACAAGCCTATAATTAAAGCAATCTGCATTTGAGGTTAAAAGCCATATTGGTTATATGTGACTTACTTTCCAATTTTACAGCACCCTGTAATTTTACTCCTGAAAAATCCAGGCGTGATAGTAACACACTTATGAATAAAATATGCAGTACAGGATGATCCTGTTGAATGCTTACCAAACCAAGTATCATGCATATAATACACAATTTTCTTTTTAATGATAGTAAAATTTGTTTAATAAAAATAATTGAAAACTATACTAATTTGGCATACTTAGCCAACATTTGTCTTACAATCAATCAAAACCTACTGCAGCAGGATCCCAAGTTTTTCATCCATTTATCTTCATTCCTATCCCTATTGAACCACATTTACTTCAGATGTGGCCCTACATGCCTGCACCATCTGTGTCCATCATCCCCACTTTTGGAGTCCTTTGGTAGTGTTGGCCATGCTTCATCACCACCCCATCCTGTAACATAAGAAGCAGCTTTGTCTGCATGAGTTATCTGAAAAGTATGACTTCAAACCTGGGTGAAAATGTCAATATGGGGATCCTTGTCTCCATGATACAAGCTTTTCTCAGCCAATTTCAGGTCATATAGAGAAATACTTGGCTACCATTTTCTGTGCTAACTACGTTTTCAGTACTATGAAAAATTTCCTGAAACTATTAAGTGTAAAGATGAAATGTTCTTTTCCACTGCTATGTGATGGGATTTCCAATACATCATTGATTTGACCCCATTACTTTTGAGAATCTCATTAGAGGAGGAGTGCCTAACCTAAGAAAACTGCTCACCTCAGTGTCGGGGACTCAGATGTATAAGGCAGGTAGGATGGGGCTGCACATTCTCCTGCAATGGCGCATCCTCAGTGTCCAAATTACTTCCTGCATGGCCTTACCTCTTAAAGCGTATCGCCCAATGTAGTGATCCCAGGGACAAGATTTTGACAAATGGACCTCCTCAGGAGATTTACCAACTAACTAGAGCATTTTTCACATTTGTTACTGGAAGAAAAATTCAAGTAAAAGATCATAGGGCAGCCTAATTGAACTACAAATGGTTTAGTAAACCAGCCCGAGCTCCAGCAGACAGCGAGCCTAAGGCACATCAATACATGGAGGGATTGCTGTTGCACTGCCTGGCATGTTCTATCCACCTGTTCCCTTCCTTCACAAAATATCAGAGAAGCTCTACTTAAAGAGTTAGATAACCACTTAAAAGCTGAATTTTGCATATTTTGAATATGTAGCTTTATAAATCCGAATAAAGGAACTTATATGCTCACTCCAAATATTCAGGGAGAAAAGCTACTTCTTTTACTCTTTGCTATGACAAAATATTTGGCAAAGGTGCTGTAAGAATTAAGAGTTTTAGGGGCTGGAGAGATGGCTTAGCAGGTGGTAGCACTGGCTGCTCTTGCAGAGGACCCAGGTTTGATTCCCAGCACCCACATGATGGCTACGAACCATCCTTAACTCCAGTTCCATGGGAATCCGAAGCCCTCTTCTGACCTCCACGCCATTGCATGACACGGGTGCACTCATTGTATGCAGGCAATATACACATTCATACACATAAAATAAAAATAATAATGAATAAATACTTTTTAAAAGAGTTTTGTTGCGGTTCACGACTTCAAATGACACAGTACATCACAGGGGAACGTGAGGTCGTTGAGCATGAGGTGTCCTGGTCACACTGTCTATTCAGGGAGCAGCAGAGGGAAGAAAATGGGTGCCGCCTGGCTGCTGCTTTTACCCACTTTTTATTTATTCAGACAGAACAGTCAAAGGATTGTGCACCCACCTGCAAGATGAGTCATCTTTCCTGAACTGACTCTGTAGAAACAGCCTCTCCAGCATGCCTATAGATATGTCTCTCTTTGTTTCAAAATACAAAGTGGTAATGAAAGTTAGTCATCTTCTGGGACCTTGAATATTATCTGATAGTATTTTGTTGAAGTATATTGATTATATTTTAAGATGTGTGCCCCTTATTTTAAACATCATAATTCTTTTGAAGGAAAAAAAAATTGGTCCTGTAATTTGTAGCAATTGAGATGTCTCACAATTGTGGATTTCTCAGTTTTCTGACTTTCAACACTTTGTTTTAACTGTGATATACAACGATGCCAAATTCTCAAGACGTCCTGTGTTTTCCCTTTTCATTACAGATTTGTCTTGTAGAATTTATCCTTGATAACTACAGCAAAGTATTTGGAGAAGACAATGACTCAATTGGGCAGGAGAGCGCAATGATTTGTAACAGTACTGAGACTCCTCCTGATACCCAGAGTAATTTCACTGATTTTGAGGCTGCGCATGCTGCCTTGGATCTTGAGAACCGCAGTCCTAGCAAGAATATGGGACATAGTGAATATGCCCCAAGAAAACTGACACAGTGGCCGGGACTCCATCTTCTCCTGAGGAGGGAGGCCTCGTAGGTAAGAGAAGGTTTTGTACAGACGTGAAGTAAGAGGCAGGGAAAGAAGACACCTTTGAACTCAGAAACCCGCTAACACAGTCATAGTGGCCTCAGGAGACATCATGTTATAACAGGGCTTGAAAACTACTTTCAAGAAAACTGTTCATGAAATCTCTACATGTATGTGGATCGTGTGTCCACTGAACTTTGTGTGCACTGCCCACCATCACATGTTGTATTTCTTTTGTCCTCTTTCCC